GTCCTGAAGCTCAGTTAAAGGCCTTTCTGTTCTTTCACCATTCACTTTCTTGGCTTGTAAATGATTTAGCAGCCAAACAGACAGGAGTCTCTAAGTAAGAAATAACTTGTTGTATATTTAGCATACATATAAGCAACAAGTCAGCATAAAAGACCAGGAAGCAGTGGAGAAGAGCAGCATTCTTAGTCCAGGTAAAGTTCTTTTAAAAATGAACTATTTTCAGAAATTATATTTGTTCTATGTGTTCACTGCCATTAGTAGAATAATGCATAGGCATTAAAGTAAGCAAGGTACTCCTCTATTTTTCCTTCATTGAAGAGTAAGCAATAATAACAACTTTGATTTCAATCTTCTCATTACCTTCTCTATGTACATACAAATATATACAAGCATGAATCAGATATATCTATACAGGACACTGTCATTTGTTCTAAAATGTGATTATGGTATGTATGTTTCTGATGCTAAGAAGTGTATCACTCTCTTACCAGCATACACATAGATACAGATCTGGTTTCTTCTTTTAGACAGACACATGGTAGTCTATACTACAAATATATACTAGGATTCATTTAACCATTCTTCAATTATTAAACAATGCAATAAGAAGTAGGAAGCTAAAGGACAAGTTAACAACAACAACAACAAAAGGAGCCGGGTGTGGTGATGCATGCTTGTAATCCTAGCACTCAGGGAGGCAAAGCCAGGTGGATCTCTGTGAATTCAAGGTTAGCCTGGTCTACAAAATGAGTCCAGGGCTACCAAGGCTACACAGAGAAACACTGTCTAACTGAAAAAAAGAAAAAAAAAAGGAAAAAGAAAGAAAGAAAAGGGATAGTGCTTTACTAAGGGAGTTTATCTTCCAAAAATTTGCTGATTAGTATGATTAAATATCAAGGACACAGCAGGGACATTGATATTGATTATAAAATTACTTTCAGGAGGATGAGGAGATGAGTTTGTTGCTAAAGTGCTTGTCCAACACAATATGAAGACCCATGGGCAAGATGAAGGTGGCATTAAGGGCTTGCATTCCCACCACTGGGGGCAGTGATGGTGGAGAAAACGCCTTAGGCGGTTCCCTAGGAGGATTCCTAGGGTTTTCTGTCCAGCCAGTATAGCCAAATCCATGAACTGCCAGTTCATTGGAAGTCCTTGCCTCAAAAGATAAGGTAGAGGCCTAGTGAGATGGCTTAGAAGATAAAGATAATTGTCTCTGACTTCCCCATATGAGCTGTGGCACATGTGACCATCATCCACAATAATGATGATGATGAGGAGGAGGAGTAAATTTAAAACTAAGATACAGTGACTAAGGTAAACATTTAGTATAAACTTTTTTAATTTTTTTAATTACACTTCATTCACTCTATTTCCCCCCTGTGGTTCCCTCCCTCCTCCTGTCCCAATCCCTCCTTTCGTCCCCCTTCTACATGCATGCTCCTCCCCAAGTCCACTGACAGGGGAGGTCTTCTTTTCCTTCCTTCTGATCCTAGTCAATTAGGTCTCATCAGAAGTGGCTGCATTGTCTTCTTCTGTGGCTTGGTAATGCTGCTCCCCCCTCAGAGGGAGGTAATTAAAGAGCAGGACAATCAGTTCATGTCAGAGACAGTCGCTGTTCCTATTATTATGGAACCCACTTGGACACTGAACTAATAACCAGAAGCTGGAAACAGCCCAGATGCCCCTCAGTGGAGGAATGGATACAGAAATTGTGATACATCTACACAATGGAATATTGCTCAGCAATAAAAAACAAGGAAATCATGAAATTTGCAGGTAAATGGTGGGATCTAGTATAAACTTTTAACCTACACACACACACACAAACATATGGACATGTACATATACATATACTACACACAGTATTTTGAGTTTGCATGGAAATATTAAAAGGTTAATTTATAGTTTTACTTATTAAAGCCTTCTGTCACATACCGCTTCCTGGATATATAAAGCTGAATCAAGCTATTTTTTCATGTTTATAATACTGCAAGGCTTTTGTTTGCTTGCATTGCTAAGGATTAAACCAATGGCCTTATACTTGTTAGCCAAGTGTTCTCCTGAGAACAAGATGTTTTATGCCTTTTTAAGAACTTTTACAATACAATTCTAGCCCGTACAATAAGATTTTTTTTTTTTTTTTTTACAACAGGAAGAATTAGGCACAGAGAAGCAAGGGATTTATCCAAAGTCACATATATAATTAGCTACATAAATGATTTGAGTTGAGCTTAAAATTCATTATCTTGTGTTTCCCCCCTCCCTGGACCAGTGAAGAAAGTATCACATGAGATACTAATCAGTTCCATTTTTCATTAGGCATTTGTTGGGTCGCACTTGGCCTAACTTTTTTTTTTTTACTCTAGGCATCTATATCCCTGCATCTTTCCATGGTTGATTTAACACTGGCTGAGCACCAATAATGTGCTAAGCACTCTAGATATCTAAATTTGTTGGCGTGAAATCTAAAACAACTATTGCTGTTCATAGGTAGAAAAGCCTACAAGAACATTTCACCTCTCTAAGGTTTTTTTGTTTTTGTTTTTGTTTTTGTTTTTTTCTATTTCTGCTTAAGATGCCTCCAAGGGAATTTCTTGTTGTCAGATAGGAATATGTAGTAACTGGTCTCTGAGTAGTTCTGAAAATATGGACTCAGTTTGCCTGACTTGCTCTTGAAGATCAGTGCATCCATTTGTTCTCCTTTCTAGAATAGCAAGTACAAACCAGTTTTCTCTTCTGATGAGTCAAAACTGCAGCTTATTCAAAATGGAATGAGTCAAAGGATTTTATAATGGTCTCTGTGACCCTGACCATATTCTCTATCAGTTGAAATGTCTTCTTTAGAGGAGTAATATCTTAGTTCTTTCCTGCCAGGAACATCTAGTTAGTCATATGCTCTATTGGCCATATTATATGCATAATTTCTGAAATGTTTTGAAAATGTGCCATTTTCCAAATCATTCTTCGGCCATAGGTATTGATACTTTAAACAGCCATAGAAAGGTCCCTGCAGATCTCTCTGATTTTTTTTGTGTTCTCTAGTCCACCCTATCTATGTTAAAAGACATATTTCCAAGAGGACGTTCTAGCCATGTCATTTCCCTAGTGAAAATTACAGATTTTTCAGAGTCCCTTTGCTCATTTATCTGTTTATCATTTGGCTTCCATTCACCAGGGATCTCTTTATTTAAGTAATAAATAAAAAGTGCTTAAGCATCTACAGTGTAAATCAGATGAAAGTAGACAAGCTACACAAAATGTAGATAGACCCCCGTTATAATAAAAGAAGCCCAAAGTCTTCCTATTTAGTGCCCCTGGAAAAAGACTTGGGCTTATGCTACAGCCTGAAGATCTTTCCATAAAATCCCTTAGTTTGGCATTCAAGACTGTCCTAACCTAGCTTTTCACATCTGATTATCTCTCAAAAGACCCTTTCATTCAGGAGTTTGGTCCTCTGCCACAACTGGGTCATTCACCACTCCTTTGCTTTTGTCCATGCCGTGCCCTAACCCTGAAATGCCCAATCCTGTTCTTTGTTGCTGTCTGACCTACAGTCATTCTTCAAAGACTAGATCTAGCCTTACTTTACAAAACCCATGTGCTTTCTTTGTTTCACAGTCTAGTCTCCTTGATTCACAGGGACCTGCTTCCTGGCTTATATTGCTTTGTGTAGCTTGTCAACTTTCACCTGATTTACATTTTTGGACAATTCCTTTTCTTCATTACAGTTATGTCTATTCAATAATTTATTCATTTTGTTTTTTTCTATTCTTCACAGTTTATTTTTGTTATCATTCATTAATTAACTTTGCATCCCAATCAGAACTTCCCCTCCCTACTTCTCCTCCAGGTCCCTTTCTCTTGTCTCCAATCTCTTTCCTTTATACACAATTCCTTTCTTCTCCGAGAAGGGGAGACCTCCCACGGTTACCAACCCACCATGGCATATCAAGTTGTAGTAGAACTGGGAGCATCTTCTACTGAAGCTAGATAAGACTGCCCAAGTAGGGGAAAAGGATCCAAAGGCAGGCAGCAGAGTCAGAAACAGCTTCCACTCCTATTGTTAGGGGGTCCCACATGAGGACCAACCTGTACATCTGTTACATATGTATGGGTGGCTTAGGTCCATCCCATGGGATGCTCTCTGGTTGTTGGTTCAATCTCTGTGAGCCCTATTGGCCCAAGTTAGTTGATTTTGTAGGTTTTCTTGTGGTGTCCTTGACACCTTTTGCTCCTTTAATCCTTCCTCTCCATCCTCCACAAGATTCCCTAAGCTCTGCCTAATGTTTGGCTGTGGGTCTCTGCATCTGTTTTCATTGGCTGCTGGGTGAAGCCACTCAGGTGACAGTTATACTAGGCTCCTGTCTACAGCTATAGTGGAGCATCAGGGTGGGCTCTCTCTCATGGCATGGGACTCATGGGCCAGGGTGGGCTCTCTCTCATGGGCCAGTCATTGGTTGACCATTCTCATACTTTCTCCTCCCTCTTTATCCCTGCATCTCTTATAGGCAGGAACAATTGTGAGTTGGAGGTTCTGTGTCTGGGCTGATATCTCTATCCCTCCATAGAAAATCTTGCCTGGTTACCATAGGTGACTGTTTCATGTTCCGTATCCCCTATCACTAGGAATCATAGCTAGCTTGGATGACATCACAGATTCCTGGGCCTTTCCACTGTCCTAGATTACTAGCTTGTCCCAGGGATAGCACCTCATTGATTCCAGTTCTCGGTCCCACCTTCCTCCACGCACTTGGTCCCTCCTGTTCCCCTCCCGCTCCCTTGACCTTGAGTTCCTTCCACTAGTCACTTCAGATGTCTATTTTAGTTCCTTTTCTCTGTGAAATTCAAGCATCCTCCCTTGGGTCCTACTGGTTACTTAGCTTTTTGAGGTCTGTGGATTGCAGTATTGTTCCCCTGTACTTTATGATTAAAATTTGCTTATAAGTACCAACAATGTTAGTCTTTCTGGGTTTGTTACCTCACTCAGGATGATTTTAAAAATATGAAAATGCTTCATGAATTTGCATGTCATTCTTTCGCAAGGGTCATGGAAATCTCAATATGGTCCAATTTTGGTATATGTGCTGCTTAAATGAGCACCCTTTGTTCATTTTAAGTCAGAATATTTGTTCATTTTGATTTTCTGAGTTGTATATTAACTCCTTATGAATCATAGTTTACAAATATTTTCTCTTATTCTATCAGCTGCCATTTAGGTCTTGATTATTTTCCCTTACTAAACATCAACATTTGAGTTAGGCTTATTTATTTCTGGTCCTTAGCATTGTTTGAATGTGCTCATGTCCTGTCTTTTAAATGAGAGTCAGCGTTTTCTCAGAATACAGATAGTCTTTAATTTCTTTTATGTTTTCTCTTATGCTATCCTCTTCTCTGCCAGGCACATCATAACGGCTCTGAAAAGTGTGCTGACTGAGTCATTGAATCCTGTCAACATATGACCAGACATAAGTGTCTTACCAAAATTCTTCCATTAACTGGGATCTTAAAGTATAGTCATTCCAAATTGGTCCAAAATACAGAAATGGATTGTAGGATTAAATACAAAACCTAAGTCAATCAGGAAGAAGATATTTTTGAAAGGTCAGGTGGGAAAATTTTATCAGGTATCTGTGATATTATACTGCCACTAGTGTGTTAGCTGCATCGGTGTGGGAGACTAGTGTTAGAATAAGTGAAAAGGGACATGAAAACCCAAGGGATAACCTTGATAATTTGCTTACTGAAAACTGTGTGCATTTGTATGCGTGCCTGCTTGAGTGCTTGGGTGCATGTGTGTGTGTGTGTGTGTGTGTGTGTGTGTGTGTGTGTGTGTGTGTTTGGACATGTGTTTGAGTGCAAAGGGAAAGATTGCAAGATGTAAATTGATTTTGTAACCCTGAAGATTGTTAAATGTTTGCGTTATTTCCAACAGCAACCATTATTTCACATAGAATGTTGCATCACAAACATGACCACTATTTACTAAATCCTTTCATAGTGTCTGTTCATTACTCATCTCACTTGTCCAACATCAGTTCTTAGGCCATAGCAGTTCTTTATCATACATTTGCATAATGAAGAAAGAAAGAACAAGCAAGGAGTGGAGGGACTGAAGGATAAATGGGAATACTTATGAAATGATTACATCATCTATTCTAGGAAATGCTAGAGATAAATGGAATTTCCAAACTTGATACTTTATTTTAAAATCGGTGTTGCTGTTGAGACTCACAAAGTTAAACAGAGTAAACCCAACCTGACAAACATAGTGGTCCCATCTTTATCTAGAAGAATTCTCAAGGGAAATTAGAATATTTTGACCCAAATGAAAATGTAATATAACAAAATGTGTGTAATTCAGTAAAAGGTGTGCTGAAAGTATTATTAGCAGAGATGGTTACATTAAACAAAATGGATATTCTTAACTCAAAACACAAATTTCTTACTGATAAAATTAAACAAAAAGGAAGAAACTGGACTCAAAGCTAGAAGAAGAAAAACAAAAATATGAAAACAGATAAGATGAAAAATTTAAAATGATAGAAAAAATCATAAAAATCAAGGGTTAAATCTTTGAAAAGATAAATGCAATTGTTTAACTTTGCTACACTGACTAAACTAACAAATAAATAAAATGCCTCACAAAGCTAAAATTGGGAATGAAAAGGAGCATTACTAACAATGCTGCAGAAATTAAAAAGAAGATGGTGAGAGTACAATAGGCAACTGCATGATAAGTTTGATAACCTATATGAAATATGAAAACAATAAATCCTAGAGATACATTGGAAAGTACTCATAGAGCTGTAACTATGAATAAGGTTGGGACAGCAGTACAAATGCTTCAATGAAAAATAGCCCACGACCCAGTGTCTTTAATTTAAAAAATTTTAATTTCACCTTTATTTTTATTAGAATATACTAGTTATACAATGTAATGGATTTCATTATAGTATTTCATAATTTCCACCTTCCACTTTGGTCCTTTTCATTTTCTAAGTTGCTTCTACTTATATCACCTTTCATTGTCCATTTCCATTTTTTCATCCACGATAGTCTTTTTACTTTAATTTTCCCATAAAATTCATGTATTGAGAAAGAAATCACAATATTTGTATTTGTGAATTTGTATTATTTTACTTAATATAAGAATCTCCAAATCTATCTACTTTCCTATAATTGATAACACCTTTTTTCTGATTTCTATAAAATATTTTAGAAAAATTTGCCACAATCTTTAACTTATCTTTTTAAATTGTAGAAGACACTTCTTATTTCATTCAGTGTGCACCCTGATATCAGACAAAGACACTGTAAAAGAACTACAGACCAAAGGTTTTTATGAATATTGACAGCTTTCCGAAAAAGAATATTAGCAAACAGAGTTAAGCAGTATATAAACAGATTATATGCTATTTTCAAAAAGTAATTTCTTCATGATGATACGCAAGGGTAGTTGAATATAGAAAATCAATTATAATGTTATTATAATCAGTATAATGTTGTTGGCTATTTTATGTTAACTTGATACAAAATGTAGTCAGATAAGAGGATGCAACCACAATTGAGGAAATGCCTCCTTAAAATTGGGCTGGAGACAAATCAGGGCTGGTTGTCCTGGGTTCTTCTATGAGAAAGCAGGCTAAGCAAGCTATGGGGAAAAAGCCTAGGTAGAAACTCTCCATGGCCATTATATCGGTTCCTGTCTTCAGGTTCCTGCCCTTACTTGCTTCAGTGATGGACTATGATACAGAAGTTTTACACTTAAACAAATAAACAGTTTGCTTCCCAGTTTGCTTTGGGTCTCTGCAATATCAACCCCGACTAAAGATATTTAGCTACATTAACCAGCTAAGGCCCAAAATCACAAGATAATCTCGTCCTGGCACAGTGGAGCATACCTGTAATTTCAGCACTCTCGGATGCAGAGGCAAGAGGATGTGTATGTGTTTGAGGCCAGCCTGCTCTACAAATAGAGTCCAGGACAGCCAAGGCTACACAGAGAAAAGCCGTCTTGAAAACAAAACAAAACAAAAATCACAATATCATCTCAAATGAAAAGCATTTCATACACATCAGCATTATTTAATGATATTCAAAATGCTCTGGAAAATAGAAACAGAAACTACTTCAACCCATTATAAGAGTACAAGTAAAAAAAAAAAAAACAACTCAGTTTATACACAGCTCAGTCTTTTATGTTAAAAATCACAGATGTCACAAAATGCCCAAGAAATTATAATTCAGCAAAATTACAGAGTATAAAATTACACAAAAGTTCTTTGTGTTTTTATACATTAGCCAAATGATAACAATTCCAGTTAGGAGCAAGAAGCCTCTGTGCATTCTGGCTCAGTATTGTGACCATAAATAGGTAATGAACCCTATCTCCAAAAGCTTGAAGAAAGAATAAACCTTAAAAAAAAAAACATCTTTAAGATGCAATTGTAGCTCTGTAGAGATGACTAGCAGTTTAGCACACTAGCCATGCTGCACACACATGGTGGCTCAATACCATCTGTAACATCAGTTTCTAGTGATCCAACACCCTCTTCTGGCTAGACATAGGCTGCATAGACATAAATGCAGCAAACACCCATACATATAAAATAAAATAATTAAAAATTTAAAAATACGGACTGGTTGACTACCCAACTCCAGGTATCTTCCCATCTCTCCTCAGCACTGGGATTACAAGCATATGCTTCTGCATCTAGCTTTTCAAAAGAGTCTAGGCTCTTCATGTTTGTGCAGAAAAAGCACTTATTCAACTGAGCCATATTTTTGAGCCAGCCCAAAGCTGTGAATGCTGAGGACAACTGATAGATGTCCCAGACCAAGGGGAGATAGAGAGACAGAGACAGAGATAGACAGAGAGAGACCCACAGACAGAGATAGATTGCTCTAAGTAAAGTGGTCTCTTTATCAAAGACAAGGGAGAGTCTCTGTCTCAAAAAATAATGTGAAGAATAATTGAAGAAGACACCTAATGTCAACCTGTCTTTCAACGTTATTATTTAACCTCAATCTTTAGAAAAATAGAATTCTTCAAAAGTAAGCTTAATGAATGCCAGCAACAGGTAACTTTTGCCAACACTGTAACATAAGGAAGGGAAATCAGTTAGACTATTCTCCCAGTCTTTGCTTCCCAACACCCTATGGGTTAGCATAGTGTTTGATATTATTTTCCTTCCCCTTTGCCAGAGGATCTCAAGTTTACAATTTTGCTTTGAAAGTTGTAATTCTGAAAAAAATGGTTGTGTGGTTGGTTGATCCTTACCCCAATCTAATAGAGAAGAGTTAAGTAAATGATAGGAAATCTAAAAAAAAAAAATAAAGATATAAGTCTAATATATACAGATGTTGTATTCCTGAACAGATAACACCCCAAAATTGAAAGTGTGAACTTGAAACGATATTTATATAGCTATGTTCACTGCAGCATTGTTCATAGTAGTCAGAACTTGGCCTTAACCCAAGTGTCTGTCAACACAAGACTGGATTTTAAAAGTGTAAAGATTGCACACCCTTAGTCCTAGCAGAGGTATGTAGATCTTTGTAAGTTTTGGAGCCAGAGCTCATAGTGACACTGTGTTTCAAAATAAATAAACAATTAATTTAAAATTTAAGACAATAAGTGTTATATAATACAATGGAGGTTAGTCTTTTAAAAGGAAGCAAATTTCCTAAGCCGGTATGAAAAAAACAAAAAGAACACATACTATATGATTCTATTTATAAAGGGTAGTTTTAGAAGTCATATTCATGAAGTAGAAAATTGAATTATGTTTGCCAGATGCTGGGGTAGGAGAGAATGGTGGAATGTTGTAATTGGTATAGTTTCACTTAGTTAAGGTTTAAGTGTTCTAGTGATAGATGGCTGCATGGTTATATGGTAATGTGAGTGTATTTAATGAACCAGAATTATATACTTGAAAGTGATTTGTGGGATTAGTAGGGGAGGAGGGAGGGAGTTTATGGGGAGATACCAAGTGAATAAGGTGTAATTAATTAAAAAAAAGAAAGAAAAAAGAAAATGATTTAAATGGTAAATTCATTGTGTGTACTTTTTACAACAATAAGCAAATAATTGCTAGGTA